GGGGGTGGTGGCGGTGGGGGCTGCTGGGAGGAATGCAGGCTATTAATCAGCATGGCCTGGGACTGGCTGTAGCCCTGTCTGCCCGCTGCACTGCGATCAAAGCTGTTGGCAAACTCCAGTGGCGGCGGCAGGGGCTCAGCGAAGACAAACTCGTCATCGGCATCCACAGAGGGGGCTGGGGGAGGCAGCACCATGAGAGCCAGCCCACCGCCACTGCCGACCCCGCTGATCCCATGAACTGGGGGGGCAGGGGGAGGTGATGGAGGGGTCAGGGCAAGGATATAGGCACTGGCATCACTCTCCATGCGCAGGAAAGAGGGGCGGCGCGGGGCCGGTTGGGAAGGTGGCTGGGGGGGCTGCTCATGCCTTCTCCCGTACCCCTCTCTCTCTCTCTCCCGCTCTCTCTCCCTCTCTCGCTCCCTTTCTCTCTCCCTCTCTCTCTCCCTCTCTCGTTCCCTCTCTCGCTCCCGCTCTCTCTCCCTCTCTCTCTCCCTCTCTCGCTCCCTCTCTCGCTCCCGTTCTCTCTCCCTCTCTCGGTAGGTAGGCTGATAGTGTTGTGACTGGTACTGATGTGTGTGGACTGTCTTATCCTCCGAAAAGCGCACCCTGAGCCCCTCCCGTCCTCCACCCTCCCTCTCCCTCTCCCCCGCCTCCTCACTCCACCCGGCCCCACCCCTCAAGATGCGTGGTGAGGGGGGCCGCCCCGTAGAGGGGGTGGTGGCTGCCAGTGAGGAGGAAGTGACGAGGTAGGAGGAGCTGGAGGATTGGGACGCGGAGACGGCTGACGGCACACGGGACAGCAGGGAGGCGGGAACAGCAGCCGCGGTGGAAGCCTGTCGTGTTAGATGGTGCTCCGTGGTGCGTTCCCTGCGGGGCCTGCTGTCATCCTTGAGAGCGCGCTCGCGGGCGGCCAGGGCCAGGCCAAGGGGCGAGGTGGGGTCCAGCACCTTTCCTGTTAGTGGGTGGATGAAGGTGGTGGCCGGCGGCTTGGCAGCGCCATAGAAATCGGTTGGCACAGAGCGTGGCTGGAAGTCTCCTGGCACAGGGGTGCAATACTCGGGTAGACCAAAGGCGGGGGGCATGCTGCGCGTGTGCTGGGGGGCATCTACACTAAACATGCCCTCATCGATGGACTTGGAGGGCCGCAGGCGGGGCGTCCCCGCATCCTGCTGCAGGGAAGCCTGGACCCGCACCGCTGTGCTAGCCTCCTCCTCGGCCGACAGGAAGAAGGAGGTGCTTTTACGCCGGGCCTGATGGAGGCGCTCTCGGTCCCGGCGTGCTGCCCCGACTATAGCTGCCCCGAACTGGCTAGTGAAGTCCAGGCTGTCCTGGGTACGTAGTGGCGGCACTGGCGGAGGTGCTGTGGTAGGGGGAGGGGGAGGAGGGATGATGGGTGGGGGAGGAGCGGGCACAGGAGGCGGGGCGGAAATGGGCGGGGCACCCTTGGCATCGGCCTCAGCGGGCGGCTCAGCCTCCATGCTGCTGCCCTGGCTGCTGCGCCCGCTGCTGCTGGTGGAGGGGGCCTTGACGATGATGGTGGGGATTGGAATGGAGCTCTTCTCCACAGGGGCTTTGCCCAGGGTGGGGGCGCCACCCACGCGTGTACAGTCTTCCACCTTAGACTGCTTCACTAACAAGCCCTTTGCCCTCCGGCCCCCAGCCTTGGGTCCCCCCCCAGGGCCCGTGGCCCCTGCCCGCCCCGCCTGCTGGGCAGCCTGGTTTTGTGTGCTCGAGGGCTGCTGCTGACTCGGGGCGGCCACAGTGGAAGGGGGGGCCGCATTGCTGTAGCCCCTCCTCAGTCCGGCGGTCCTGCCCCCAGCACCTGCCATGCCCCCAGCCTCCCCTGGGATGGCCCCACCTTTACGAGACACTGTAGCCCTGCCTGGCTGAATGTGAGGGGCAGGCGGTGCTGGATAAGGTGAGGACAGTGCATGATCCCCTGCCCCGCCCCCGACCATGCCCCCAGCCCCACCTCTATCACGACCCGCCTGGGGGACCTGCACAGCCTGAGAATACAGCTGGTAGCTGGGAGTGGCTGAGGAAGTCTGGGATACCAGCGCTGTGGGCATTTGGGTCTGCTTGCTCCTCCAGCCAGAGGGAGGCCCTGCAGTGAAGGGGGGTTCAGGCGGAGCTGTGGTAGGGGGTGGGGGTATATCATCTGGCCCAGGGACTGACAGACTGCGAGCAAACTTCACTGCCGGTGGATGGAGGTAATGTTTCTCCTCCTCTGGGACGCCTACAAAAAAGCAGAGAAGATGGAGGGCAGGGAAAGACAGGAAAGGATGGGGTGATGAATGCAGCAGAAGGAAAGAACATCAAGCACACGGGTATAATATATGCATGAAGAGGATCAATAGGCATGAAGGGCCACAATGACATCTGTCTGTCCAGTTCTGTCCGTCAACCCTGTACCTCCGTGTGTGTTTATACACCAGCAACCCTGTACCTCTGTGTGTGTGTATATACATCAGCAGCCCTGTACCTCCATGTGTGTTTATACGCCGGCAACCCTGTACCTCTGTGTGTGTGTTTATACACCAGCAATCCTGTACCTCTGGGTGTGTTTATACACCGGCAGCCCTGTACCTCCATGTGTTTATAAACCAGCAACCCTGTACCTCTGTGTGTGTGTGTTTATACACCAGCAATCCTGTACCTCGGTGTGTGTGTTTATACACCAGCAACCCTGTACCTATGCAAGTGTTTTTATACACCGGCAACCCTGTACCTCTATGTGTGTGTTTATACACTAGCAACCTTGTACCTCTGTGTGTGTTTATACACCAGCAACCCTGCAACTCTGTTTTATATACCAATAACCTTATGTTTTATATAGCAGTAACCCTGTACCTCCATGTGTGTTTATACACCAGTAACCCTGTACATATACCAATAACCTTGTGTTTTTATATAGCAGTAACCCTGTACATCCATGTGTGTTTATACACCAGTAACCCTGTACATCTCTGTGTTTATACACCAGTAACCCTGTACTTCTCTATGTGTTTATACACACAACCTCTCTGCTACTGTACTGGTAGCTTGTGTGTGTTTCTCTGCCTGCTTATCTGCATGTTAGATATCAAACGGGCAAACAAGGGCAGTAACGTGGGGTTCAGAAATGAGGCTCAGGACAATGCAGCCACATGGTAGCAGACAGGCTAACTGCTAACAGTGAGCACTAGGGAGCTTTCTGCAGAAAAGCAGACAGGCACACAGGCAGCAGACGGACAGACAGTCAGACAGACGGCCTCACCGATGGATTTCTGTCGCAGCATCATACCGTGCTGGCTGCGCTCGTAGCCAGAGCTGGGACCTGTCACAGGCAAACCTGGCTGCTCGAAGCTGGGCTGCAGAAGGCCGGAATGGAGAGAGAGGTGTATGTGGTTTTGAGAGCCTCATATAGATATACACAGACAGACACATGTTAAGGAAAACAACACACCTGTCAGCGCAAATATCTCTGCTCTTAGTCTATTTGCTGCAGGGGTCAGTGCAACATGGTGGGTGGTTCAGTGGGCTAAGCCTCTGTGCCTATGATTAGAAAATTGCTGGTTCAAGCCTGGCCTTGACACATCTGCGGGTCCTTGAGCAAGACTCTTAACCTCCAGCTCCCTGGGTGCTGCAACAGGTGGCTGCCCATCATGGCTAGCTTGCTCTCACCTACAGAAAGCAAGCTGGGGGAGGTGTAAGGAGAATTTCCCCAAGGGGACCAATAAAGTATCAATTATTATGATTATTATGACTTCCAGTTGAATAGGAGATTGGAATTTCAAGTCAAAAATTCAAAAATAAATCCTGTGCAGAGGTGGAAGCATCCCATGAGCTTTGGCCCCACATGTAAACATTCAACATGGCTGACTGTGACATGCCTGGGCTCTTATGCCAAGTTCATGAATAATTGTATGAATATGTTTTAATGATAATAACGTGTGTGCATGCTAGTGTATGAATTGTAAATGTGTACAATATACCGTCTTATTGTTTCTGTGAAATAATTCACTCATCCCCCCAGACCATGCACTCTGTATCCTGTATCTGCATCTGTACACAGTGTGTATCTACTTACTCCGTCCTGTAGTTAGTGTGTTCGCTGCTTTTATGTATTTTTATTTTATATATTTTTAAATTGACTCTTCTCCCCTGACACTCTATTTTATAAAAAGGACTCTGGGAGAAACGCACAAGAATTCCAATGTATTTGTACTGACCTGTACCTGTGCAAATGGCAATAAAAATCATCCATCTACCTATCAATCTATGATAACCCTGAAAGGTTTATTAATTAAAAATAACACAATCAGCTCTGTTGATACCCTGTGAAACATTTGTACAGAGAAGTTTCATTTCATTTTCTGGACTGCTACAGCGATCCATATTGCTAAATAGTTTACAACATTTGTGATTAATTTTTACATCTACCTTCATAATTGTTTTTAATTTATTTATAGTGTTTTATTTGCAGCTTTATTCCTTCACTTGATTATTTACTATTCATGTGTGGATGCTGCTACATTGTCTAAAGTTAGAGCTTCACGATGAAGTACGTGAAATTGGCTCGAGTTTCCCAGTCACAGCTCTGACTTCAGCAGTAGTTCCGGATAGCAGGTAGGGCATTTCTGAGTTCTTGCTGAGGTCTCTCAAGCACAGCCTAATTGCATGCTTACATGCTCAGTCGAATACCATAATATGCATGTAGGGCCCTTGCAATTTGGATGTTGACCTCCACCAGGTGCATTCTGCTAGACTAATGCTGTTCCAGTTGAGTCGGAGATTGATTCTGGTGGACAATTCATTGACGTCAATCTACATAGATAATTGGTTTTGTTTTACTTATAGTGTTTTTTCAGTGTAAACCAGGAAATCACTCTATATGGCCTTCACTTGATTATTTAGCAATCACAGTGATTGTCCTGGTGTGGCTGCGATATTGTCTGACATCACAGCATCTGCATCTCAATGAAGTCAGGGTATGTGAAATTGCCGCAAGTTTTCCACTTGGAGCTCTTTCTTTGACAGGCATTTTGTCATACTTTTTGAAGTAGGAGGAAGGACATTTTCAAGTTTCATATTATCTGGAACACAGCATACCTCTGCCAGGCTAAATCTGCTAGGATATCTTCGCTAAGCTGTCTCTGCTAGGCTAATTCCGCTAGGCCATCTTCACTAGGTTAACTCTGCTAGACAGCTCTGCTAGACTTATCTCTGCTAGGCTAACTCCGCTGGGCTAACCCCACTAGACCAACTCTATCAAGTTAACTCTGCTAAGGTGACTGTATTAGGCCATCTCTGTTAGGCTAACTCTGCATGGCTAACTCTGCTAGACTAACTGCGGTTACCTCATTAGGGAAGAGGCCCCTTGTTTTGTCTCTTTTGGTTCCGTGGCTTCGCAGCCCAGGTCCCTCATTGGTACTAATTGTCTGTTGGGCCGCTGCCAAGATCTCATCCAGTTTGTCTGGATTGCATGTATGAAGAGAGAGAGAAAGAGAGGGAAAGAGTGAGGTGGGGGGGAAATAACGCAATAAAGAGGGAAAGATAGAGAAAGAGAGAGAGAGTGAGAGAGAAAATGCGCTTTCACACTGCCAGAACTTTTTTCTGGAACCAGAATATTTTTCCAGAACTAGGGACTTTTGTCATGTTTACACCACAGAAACTTGGCCCGATTGCAGTTCCTCAGAGGCTGTTCCGGAACCCTTTTTAGCACCTACTCCAGACTAAGTACTTTTCGTTCGAACATGACCTACTGGGGAGACTCTTACAATGATAGCTTGCTAACTGGTTGAGTGCAAGCACTGTCGGTAACTTGGACGTTACATGGAAGGGCAGAAAAAAGATATAATTAGTGGATCAAAAATTGAGCACATGGGAGTATTTTTGTACTCCAGTTATAGTTACTAAATTATTTTTTTTGCTTGCCTCTCCATATATCTGCATTGGAAAATTCGATCGATAATCAATATACTTTTGTCTGGTGCCGGTGGTGAAACTTGCCAGCCCTTATTAGCAGGATAACGTTACCATTGTATTTTATTCTGTGAAACTGAAAGGTTGACTTACTGGTCAGATTTAATAATGGAATATAAACATGTCGTTCATCGCATTAATAAAATATAAATAAAAGGCAGTGTCCTGTTTTCATCGCAATCGCTCCCCCCCCCCACCAGTAACTAACAAATAGCTTAACAAAACAACTTGTTCATTGTTTTGGGGTGGCGGTGTACTTTTGAATTATGTGCGAGGTTTAACATACGTGCTTTTGTGTCTCCCCTGCTTATTTAGCATAAAGGTCCCAGTTCTGTTGTGTGGTGTGAAAGCAATACACAAAAGTGGCCAGGAGCTTCAAAAGTCCCCAGTCGAGACGGCCCAGGTGCCCAGGTACCCAGGGACCCGATTCCGGAACTTTGGTGTGAAAGCGCCTAAAGAGAATTTTGAAGCCAGCCTGCTCACACAACACCACAGCAAACTTAATCAACCAAGTCGGCCAACAGGAAACACTCCCGTCTCACAAACTCTATGAACTCGACTGCCAAGCCACGTTGAGAGGGCAGGCTACATTGTGGAAAGAGGGACTCACTGCACACACACACAGCCAGAGAGTAGTAACACTACAACTTACACACACAATACACACACAGCAAGAGAATGGTAACAGTACTACTTACATACACACAAAAACGGGAGTAGTAAAACTAAAACACTAACGGTAGTTGTAGTTGTTGAAGAAGTAGAAGTAACTGTTGCTAAAGAAAAATACTAAACCAGGTAACATTACTATGGAAGTCGAGAACAGCCATGCTTGCAGTATTTTTTATGCTGTTATCTCAAGATAACGATAATTTTCTCTGAATAATTACAAGGATAAACATATTGTGATGTCAACTTGCTATACGCAGTGCTGCTCGTATATGTGACTGTGTTATTTTATGTGTGCATTTGGGCATTCAACGTTGAAATTAATAAGTGTTGTACTCGTGTAGTTTTTTGCCATGAAGTGCACGTCGTGTCTTGTCTCTAAGCTGCACCAGGAAAGACTGTTTTAGCACTATACACAAAATGTGTAGATGACATGATCATAAAAAATACTGACATTTAATATAAACAAACCTTCACACTCTCATTCAAATCTACACACATTGTCCGAATCTTTGAGGGTTATTCCACTAAGCAAAATGTGCCATGCTTGAGCAACTCTTAGATATCAGTGTGAATTGAACGGTAAATAAGCTGCGAGTCCTTTTAAAACACGTAGCTTACGCTACCACGGTGCTAAATTATCTTATGTCGAGATAACAGCTTTAAAGAAATAATTGCAAGCACAACCATTCTTGGCTTCCATACATTACATATTGCTGACTATGATAATAAAATAACAGTTTAAAAATCAAAATAAATTATTATTCATCTAAAGAAAGAGCATGGGGGAGATCCTGGCCTTACTCTATGACACATAAGTTACGCTCCTGCTCTTCTCCTGCGGCTGCAACCTCTGTCACAACAAATCCTGGGCCTGCTGGAGCTACACTCACAATGACAACGACAATGATGAAGTACTTTTGCAGGAAGTGCTGCTGCATGGTCTACAGGCAGCAGGAGCAACAAGTATTCAGGGAGTAGTTCATATATTTATAACCCAGAAAGTGGCACGCGGAGCTAGCCACTGCTTAAACAAGAGCACCAGTCAGCAACGAAAGGCTCATTCATGCACAGAGGAGGGATGCAATATGAATATTGCGGTTTTTTGTCCACACTGCTTGTCCCTGTCATGTCATCTATTATACTTTAACGATGTGAAATGTTTGTACAATGCAGCCTGAATTACAGGTCATAATTAGGCCAACAACCAGTTTTATCTCAAATCTAGAAAGCTTCATTTAAACGTAATCTGAAAGAAGAATTTGGAAAACTCTTGAGACAAACAAAATCTCAGACAGTTGGTGATGGATATTAAGACAGCCACAAACAACAGTAAACTGTCATTAAATAAATAAATGGTGCAGGGTCAGGGAGTCACAGGGGGTGCGTGCAGTGCCCCCAGCTGAAACGAAGAGGTGGAACAAAACTGTCACATTCTCCACTCTCCTAAAAACGTAGACATCACAAAATAACATTTCCATGACGGCAAACTGGATAAGCAGTTAGATAACTGCACAAAAAAAACATCCTATCTATACAGACCTCATTTGATGCAGGAGGAAAACTGTCATGTCACATACTGTAGATTTTTATTCTTGTTCATATACCAAATGTACACTGGCATTCAGTGTAGTTTTAATATAGGACACTGATAACCATTGTTTAAGGAGGTGTTCAGTATTTATCTGTAGATTTGCTGCAGTTCAATGTCATGTACTGTATTTAACTAGGAGATTAACATGGAGGGGGCAGCATGGTGGTGCAGTGATTAGCACTGTTACTCATGAGTGGGACCAGGGTTCAAGTCTCCACCAGGGTTCCATGTATGTGGAGTTTGCATGTTCTCCACATGTTATCATGGGGTTTCCTCTGGGTATTCTGGTTTGCCCCCCCCCCCCAGTCCAAAAATATAGTGAGGTTTATTGGAGTTACAAATTGCACATAGGTGTGGGTGAATGGTGTATGCCAACAATAGGTTAGCACCCCATCCTCAGTTGTTCCCCCCTTGCGCTGCATTCCGTGTGATGTACCGTATTAAACTGTGGGATTACCGTGATTCAGTGTGGTGTACTATATTTGACTGTGTGTTTACCATGGGTCAGTGTGGTGCACCGTATTAAACTGTGGGATTACCGTGATTCAGTGTGGTGTACTATATTTGACTGTATGTTTACCATGGGTCAGTGTGGTGTACTGTATTTAACTGGGGGATTACCATGGGTCAGTGTGGTGTACTGTATTTAACTGGGGGATTACCGTGGTTCAGTGTGGTGTACTATATTTGACTGTGAGTTTACCATAGTCCACTGTGGTTTCCTGAAGTCCAGTGTGGTATCCTGTATTTATCTGAAGGTTTACTGCAGTCCAGTGTGATATGCTGTATTTACCTTTAGGTTAACTGTGGATCCATTGTGGTGTATTACATTTGATTGTGGGTTTACTGTGGCTCAGTGTAGTGTACTGTATTTAATTGGGGGCATACCATGGTCCAGTGTGGTATACTATATTTTATTGTCAGTTTATCACAGTCCATTGTGGTGTACTGTTTTTAACTGTGGGTTTACTGCAGTTCAGTGGAGTGTACTGTATTTAACTGTGGGTTTACTGCCGTCTAGTGTGGTGTGTGGTGTACACTGCGGTGAACATCCCCACGAGTGAACTCTTACTCAGGGCCATCTGGTAGACGGTCCTCTTCTTCTCGTTGACCTGCGAGGGCTCGTACTCTGAAGTGAGACACACAGAGAGCATAAGCCCTGCCCCGCCCTGCCCTGCCCCGCTCTGGCCCCTGACACAGCCACAGCTCGCACACCTCAGGCACAACCAGGGACGTTTCTGTACCTTTCTTTTTCCAAGGCGTGGCAGCTGAAATATTCCCAAAAAGAGAAATTTCATTAGGCATCCCCCCCAGAGAAGTTTAATCAAAATACCCTTTCATGCTTAATGTTAACAGTAACTAAATGTGCATTTAATGCTGACAGTAGTAATAAGTTACTCTCAAAGAGTAGACATACAGAGAAACATGCAGAGGAATGAGCAGATAAGCGAGAGCTCTCTCACCTTTGTCCACTTCAGAGTCCCGACCGTAGGAATGGGAGGCAGGAAAGAGGGAACATGAGCAAACACACACTCATGTATACTCAGATCTAGACACAAAAGGACATACTGTGTTTTTATGGAAGTGTGGGACGTGTAGCTCACTGTTTTTGCTGTAGCGTGCTGTAGCTCAGTGTGTTTTTCCTGATGAGTGCTGTAGCTCACTGTGTTTTTCCTGATGAGTGCTGTAGCTCACTGTGTTTTTGCTGTGGCATACTTAGCTCACTGTGTTTTAACTGTAGTTCTCTATGATTTTACTGTAGTGTGCTGTAGCTCAGTGTGGTTTTACTGGAGTGTGCTATAGTTGACTGTGGTTTTACCCTTTTCATTATGGTTGCACTGTAGTTCATCCCTTGTGTCCCTGGGACTGTTATTACACATTCTGGTATCCAAACATGAACAGCAAGTTTTTTGTGTGTGTGTGGGGGGGAGGTGTAGGGGGTTTTATTCCTGATGCTACATGTTTTGGGGCTGGTGGAAGTGACAGTGTGGGGCGGCTGAAAGAACAGGAAGATATGCTGAGTTCCTGCACACCTGCGGCACGGGACCCACCCATCTCCTCCAGCTCTGACGTCATGGACTTGGAGCGCAAAGCAATGGCAGGAGCACTCAGCCTCTTACTCTGCTGAGGAACTGTGAGGATTAAGAGAATTCATCACCGAATTCAGGTGTTTCATTCAGACCCATTGCCACAAGTGTATAAAATCAAGCACCTAGCCATGCAGTGAGTCACCACCATCATCATCATCATCATCACGGTCATCATCACATGAGCAACACCACCTAAGCTACCCTCTTCTGTTTAAGATGGATTGACCTGACTTCCGCCTAGTATAACGTCAGAACTGGTCATTATCAAAAATTGACCTCTTACTTTTTTTCCTGCCACCGTCCTCCATATCAGGGTTGCGGGTTACCATGACGACTTTGACCATGAGGTTGTTTCCCCCTTGTCTGATCATGTTGACCACCTGTCTGTGACCCACCTTAACCACATTTTGGCCATTCACCTGCAAGACAGGGATCATGGGAAGGTGTCTTTAACCAAAGAGAAGAAACGTCCAGCTCACACTGAGGCTTGATGCCTCCAAGGTTATCAGTTCCCTGCAATAACTCTGTCCTAGGAGTTATAGGGCTGGGCAATATATCGCGTTTTTTAAGATATATTGATATATTTACATATGACACTTAGGATGAGACAATATCGTTTATATCAATATAGTTTATGCTGCTTTAAAATTATACTTGTAGAGCCCCATTTCTGTCGATTTGTTCTACTTTGTTGAGTTATCCTACTTTAGCGCATTTTGACAGATATATCTATTGATCAATGCTACCCTACTGAAAAATGCTACTACAGTCCAAAAATAATAACTGAAATCTTCTAAAATTCTGCAATACAGTACCTTATCAGATTGTTATCTGTATTGTATTGTTAGAACTACAGGTAACACATCTCCCAAGCGAGCTCGATGGGCCGAATGGCCTCCTCTCGTTTGTATAGTTCTTATGTTCTTATCTCGATAGACTGAAATCAGAGCAACTTACCTTCATAAAATACTTGGGTAGCCAATTTCGATAGACTAAAATACTTTAAGGATGTGCTGTCATAAATATGTGAGCAATACTGACACATTATAAAGCCTACGGAACTCATGTCAGGTAATTCGACATACAGCGTGATAAATGTACTTAATAAAATATAAAAAATGTATGAATGTTTAAAAATGCAGATATAAGATTAATTACGCAAGACTCAGCTGTAACTCCAACGCAAGGTAGAATAGATTGATGGGCGGTTCTTCAAGCATGAGAAAAGGGGTGTGATTTCGCTGTGCGCATGCGCAGTACCCAAAGGTGAGACGTTTCGATAGGTAGGATGAAATGTTAGAACACCGTCAATTCTCCTATCTCTATTCTCCGTGTCTGTCTCTCGCACAACTGCACCCTGCCCCCCCCCCCCCCCCCTCTCTACCCACCCCCCCCCCCCCCCCCCCCCCCTTTTCTGAACCCCCCCCCCCCCCCCCCCACTCACAAGTCCTGCATGCAGCGACACAACATGGAGACAGACACTGATAGGATGAAAGCTAGCGAAGATGGTAGTTTACTTTGAGCCATTTTTACATGCACTTGTACAGCTGTCTGTTAATAAAAGTGCCCATGTGACATTGGGGACATTTGGCTCTGACTTGGAACTGTCTATTTGTTATTAATTTATGAAAAAAATATTGATATATATATATATATATATTGTATAGCGCCATTCAGCTAAAAAATATCGAGATATGATTTCTGATCGCCCAGCCCCTAAGCAGTTATAGGAACTCGATGGAGGGGAACACTGTTTAAACTACAACAGCCAATACCACAGACCTCAATAAGAAAGTCACCCATTCGTAAACCAGCCCTCCAGGCCACACCCCCTTCATCCACCGATTCCAGATACTGCAGTGCAGGGAATGCTGGTGTGGGTGTGAACTCCTCTATAGGTGTCTGAGCTGCGGAGACAAGGCAGTGGGTACATATTAACATCAGTGCTATGTAAATGTTCAACAAATATATCAGTTAACAAGCTGTGAAAATATACATCTGTAAAGAGCAATGAGGTTAATGTCTTATACAGTGTATAGTCATACTATGACATAGTGGCAGAGCCATATTATGACATAGAAAGCTGAACACATCAAACCTTTCGCTCCACGCAGGACAAATCCAAAACCTTCATTGTCCTTCTTCTGTAGGAGTACTGTCTTTTCCTTGATGATGTAGTCGCTAGAAAAAAGACAGACAAAGTCAGCCCTGTACACACACCGCTGTAATGAGTAAGAGTCAGTACTTTATACACACTCCTGTGCTGAGAGCCAATACTGTACAGACACTTGGGTACTGAGAGCAAGTACTGTATACACACACCTGTACTGAGAGGTAGTAGTGTATACACTCTACTAAGTGAGAGTCAGCACTATATACACACTGTTGTACAGAGTGATAGTACTGTATACACACTTCAATACTATCATATTGAGTGAGAGTCAGTACTGTATAAATAATGCTATACCAGAGTACTGAGTGAGAGTCAGTATTGTATACACAGTTCTGAATTAGTGTACTTAGTCAATAGAGTACTGAGTGAGAGTCAGTACTATATACATGCTACACTTGTGTACTGAGTGTACTGTATACAGTACTGAGTCAGTACCGTATAGACACTACTACGCTTGTGTACTGACTGAAAGTCAGTACTGCATGCACACTTGTATTTGTGCACTGAGTGACAGTCAATATTGTATAGACACTACTGTACTACTCTATACACACTATTGTATTTGACTGTATATACACTGTTATACTTGTGTACGTAGTAAGAGTAAGTACTGTATAGACACTACCCTGCCTCACTCTGAACCATAACCCTGTCTCCATCTGTTTCTTTGTCCTTGTAGTATGGTGTACCTCAGCACTCATCCCTGTGCATACTCCTTCTCTCCAAAGCCGTGAGGATGGAATCCTCCAGCATGCTCCAGCATTCTTACTGTATATCATATCCCCAATCACAGGCTGCCACTGCCTGTGACCCCCATGACAGCACAGAGACACACAGGGCAGGTACTCAGGGCTCCATAGGAGAGGAGTCATGGGAACACCGAGTCCCTCCCTCATCATCATCATCTTCATCATCATCATCATCATCATCATTGTAAATGAACCAAATGCCTCCATTTCTGGGGATTAGCAATGACCACAGAGAAGAGGGGAAAAGCAGCATCATCCTCTGCACACCCCCCAAGCATCCATCCCCCCCCACATCCTCCTCCACAACTTCCAGGAACAGGAAGGGAGAGCTGTGCAAGGAGGGCAAAGGAGAGGAGAGGAGAGGAGGAGACAGAGAGAGGCATAACAACAGGAAGAGAAGCCTGAACAATGAACAGACACAAAGAAGGACAGAAATAAATTAAGAAGGAATGGAGGGAGATGCTGTGCAATGAGACAAGGAGAAAACGAAGGGATGGAGTACATGAGGGTAGAGGAGAGAGGGAGGGGGAGGAGGTGCTGTAACAGTGAAAAAGAGGGAGATGAGGGAAGTGGGAAGACAAAATCGGCATGCTTGCACATGCATACTCACACGCACTCTCACACACATGCACAAATACATGCATGCACACGCATACACAGTGACATGCACTCACAAACGCACATTCACACACGTGTGCACATAAACACTCACACGCACTTATACAGTACATGCACAGACACATGTATGCATATTCAGATGCATGCATGTGCATACTCACACATGTGCGTGAGTGTCTGTGTGTGTGTCTGTGTTTGTGTGGATGGATCACCTGGGTCATGGCTACCCAGTAGTCTAAGAGAGTATTTTAAAGTAGGAAAGCATAACAGGCAGTTCCATGGTGTCACGCAGTGGCAACAGACTAACAGAGCCTGAAACTGTGGCAGACAGATGGTGCTCAGAAAGCCTCGGTGGCCCACAGCCCTCAGGAGCACATTCTTCTACAGCTCTCAGCCATCCTTAGTGTTCCTGATCTGTAGCTGTGTTCTGCTCCACTACATGCCAGCCCAGTTCATTCAGCAAGGTAGCAACCCAAACTGAACCCTATGGGAAATACAAAGTGAAGAGCAACAGGAGGCTGGCTGCAGGCACAGAGATGAAGAGATGTCGCTGCCCCCGGCAGGCACAGTAACAAGGGGACGCCGCTATGCCCCAGAGGCACTGGGGCAAGGGGACGCCGCCACCCCCTGCAAGCACAGAGACGAGGACACTGCTGCCCCCTGCTGGCACAGTAGCGGGGGATGCCACCTCCCCCCTCCACAGGCACAGAGATGAGGGGATACTGCCGCCTCCTGCAGGCACAGTAACGAAGGGACACTGCTGTTCCCTGCAGGCACCGTGGCAGGGGGATGCCACTGCTTCCAGAAGGCACAGAGACGAGAGGACACTGCTGCCCCTTGCAGGAATAATGACAGGAGGACACTGCTGTTCCCCACAGGCACAGAGACCAGGGGGCGCCATTGCCCCCCCGCAGGCACAGAAACGAGGGAATGCCGCTGTTCCCCAGAGACGGGAGACGCCACTGTCCTCTGCAGGAACAGAAAAGTGGGGATGCTGCTGTCCCTCACAGGCACAGTGAAGGGAGGATTCTGCTGACTCCTGCAGGCACAGAGACAAGACAGGACTCCACTGCCCCATGCAGGAATAGTGACAGGAGGGCACTGCTGTTCCCCAGCAGGCACAGAGACTTCAGGTTGCCACTGCCCCACACAGGAACAGAGATGACGGGACACGACTGCTCCGCACAGGCACAGAGACAAGGGGACTCCGCTACTCCCCACAGATACAGAGATTAGGGGACTCCGCTACTCCCCACAGATACAGAGATTAGGGGACACCGCTGCCCCCTGCAGGCATAGTGACAGGGGGATGATGCTGCCTCCCACAGGCACAGTGACGGGGGAACACTATCTGCCCCCTCTCTCACTTTCTCTGCCACATCTCTCACTATTTCACTCACATCTCTCACGTTTTTCATTCTCTGCCACATCTCACACTCTCCCTGCCACATCTCACACTCTCCCTGCCACATCCCACACTGACTCTGCCATACCTCTCATTTCCTCCACCACGTCTCCTACTCTCTTAGTCATGTCTCATACTCACTCCTCCAGATCTCACTCCCTTTGCCACATTTCTCATTCTCTCTGTCACATCTCCCATTCCACCACATCTCTCATTTTCTCTGCCACCTCTCCCACTCTCTCTGCCATATCTCATACTCACTGTGCTGCATCTCTCATTCTCTGCCACATCTTTCACAGTCTTTGCCACATCTTCCAATCTTTCCTCCACATCTCCAACTCTCTGCCACATCTCTCACTGTCTTTGCCACATCTCTCATGCTCTTCACCACATCTCCAATTCTCTCCACCGCATCTTCCAGTTTTGTTACGTCTCCCACTCTCTATGCCACATCTCACACTCACTATGTGACTCCCTTTGCCACATTTCCCACGGTCTCCATCATATGTCTCACTCTCTCTGCCACATCTCTCACTATTTCACTCAAATCTCTCACTCTCTCTGCCATATCTCCCACAATATTTGCCGCATCTGCTACATCTTGCACTTTATTTGCCACATTTCTCACTCTCTCTGCCACATATATTACTCTTGCTGCTACATCTCCTGCGATATATTCCACATGTACCCCATCTCTCACTCTCTCTGCCACATCTCTCAGCTTCTCAGCTCTATCACTCTCTGAAGTTTACCATTTTTTTCGTTATCCCTAACTCTTGCTTAGTGTGAGTGATTCTGTTCTGCCACCTTGTCACCATGCTCCCATTTCCCTCTCACCATCCCCCCCCCCCCCCCCCCCCCCCCCCACATTGATCACCTGCGTACAGGCACGCACGCGCATACAGATACACACGCATCACAGCCACGCGCGCACGTATTGCCCCCCCCCCCCCATTTCTCACACACACTCTGTAAACAAGGCTGAACGCATGAATGAAAGTGCAAGCAAAGAAGGACAGGGAGAGAGAGAGACACTCACACTGGCACTGAAAGCAAGCGAGAGAGAGCAGCAAATAGCACTCACATCATCTCTGGCTACGCTCCTTCTTCTCTCTGTTTTCTTCTGGCCGTTTTCCCTCTATCCCCCTCTCTCTCTTTCTCTCTCTCTCTGTTGCGTTGCTTCAGTGTGTATTGCTGTTCCTGCTGCCACACTTTCTTTCTTTCTCCCTTTCTCTCTGTCCCTCTCTCTCTCTCTCTCTGCATGTTATGCTATACTGCTGTGAATTTAGTATAAGTGTGTGATCGTGCAAGGGAGCGAGAAAGAGAGAGAGGTGGTAGATAGCAGGATAAAAAGAGGCACAGGGGTTATGGAGAGAGGGAGAGGGAGAAAGAAAAGATGGAGAGAGAGGGAGGAAGGGAAAGAAGGAGAGGAAGAGATACAGAAAGAGAGAGAGATAGAGAATAGAGGCCTCTATTGCACATTTTTCACACACAGAGCTTAGAGAAAACATGCTCCCTGGCCCAGAGTAAGAGGCACTCACCTAAAACACCCTGACAGGCTGCCTCACCTGGAGTGAGTGCACATTTATGCTACGTCCACATCATGCTCAGAAGATAGAAGCACAATAGAAAGCCCAGGCCCTGATGCTTTTGTCTTTGTTTACATACATTTTCATATTTTGCTTCCTTTTTAGAAATCTGATCAACAATCTTTATTGTTTTGCTAAAACTCTTAACATTATAAGAGAATGCAGGCATCTAGCAGGCTGATTAAGAGCTGAAGTCCAAAAATGAGTGAATGTAAAACCGAAGCTTGAGCATCAGAGCATTTTAATTTTGATGAGATGATGAAACTTAAAGAACTGAACACCACAGAAGACCAAAAGGGAACAGTGATGAGGAACATGGACTTGGATGACGTATGTATGAAGCACGAAGAGGAATGTGGAACTTGGATAAGATATGTATGTACCATGAAGAGGGATACAGACATGGATGAGGTATGTATGAAGAATGAAGACGGACACGGACTCAGATGAGGTATGCATGAAGCGTGAAGAGGGATTCTGATGAGGTATGTATGAAGCATGAAGAGGGACACAGACTTGGATGAGTTATATATGAAGCATGAAGAGGGACACGGACTCGGATGAGGTATGTATGAAGCATGAAGAGGGACATAGACTCGGATGAGGTATGTATGAAGCATGAAGAGAGACATAGACTCGGATGAGGTATGCATGAAGCATGAAGAGGGACTTTGATGAGGTATGCATGAAGCATGAAGAGGGACTTTGATGAGGTATGCATGAAGCATGAAGAGGGACATGGACTCGGAGGAGGCATGAATGAAGTGTGAAGAGGGACACGGAACTGGATGAATTATGTATGAAGCGTGAAGAGGGACATGGACTTGGATGAGTTATGCATGAAGCGTGAAGAGGGACGTGGAATTGGATGAGTTATATATGAAGCGTGAAGAAGGACACGGGCTTGGATGAGTTATGTATGAAGCGTGAAGAGGGACGCGGAATTGGATGAGTTATATATGAAGCGTGAAGAAGGACATGGACTTGGATGAGTTATGCATGAAGCGTGAAGAGGGACGCGGAATTGGATGAGTTATATATGAAGCGTGAAGAAGGACACGGGCTTGGATGAGTTATGTATGAAGCGTGAAGAAGGACACAGACTTGGATGAGTTATGTATGAAGCGTGAAGAGGGACACAGACTTGGATGAGTTATGTATGAAGCGTGAAGAAGGACACAGGCTTGGATGTGGTATGTATGAAGCATGAAGAGGGACACGGGCTCGGATGAGGTCTGTGTGAAGAGGGACACGGATTCAGATGAGGTATGTATGTAGCGTGAAGAGGGACACGGAATCGGATGAGGTATGTATGAAGCGTGAAGAGGGACACAGGCTTGGATGTGGTATGTATGAAGCGTGAAGAGGGACACAGTTATATGATCCTTTCCCCAAATCCTTTTCACATTGCCCACCCTCCTGACTCCCCCCAAGTGCCCTTCACCATCTGACCTCCAATCTGAGGATACAGATGGATACACCACAGGGGACAGAGGGTGACAGAGAGAAAATTAAAACGAGGGAAGCGCAGAAACAGTCACGGGGGCGGGGGGAGCAGTAGGGCCAGTAAAGATAAATAAAGATAGCTGCATAGAGTACGAGAATCTTCAGGAGGAGAAGAGGGTGTAAGTGGTGGGAAATGGGGGAAGTGCAGACGGAGCCGATGCTGGGTGAGACCGGGAGCTGCAGGAGAAGCACAGAGCCGCCACACACATTACTCACTATGTGTATTAAATATGTCGGATTGCACAGTTAGACCATGGGACAGGAAGGATAGTGAAAAGAGCAGACAGGCAGCTGAAGCAATCATGAACAAATAGACAAGAGTTTGAGTGACTACAGCGAACAGACACTGCCTTCCCAGGCAGCCAAGACCGGTGCTTAGCTGTGAAATCTATGGTATCAAAAAGCTCATTCTATACACTTTCTCAACAGAGTCTCAACAGGGTATGCAGGGGATGTTATTAATTATCGGACTATGTGCTACTGGATGTGTTGTTGATTATCTTACTCTGTATTACTGGATATGCTGTTGCTTATCTTACTCTGTATTACTGGATATGTTGTTGATTATTTTACTCTCTGTTACTGGATGTGTTGCTGATTATTTTACTCTGTGATACTGGAAGTGTTATTGATAATCTTACTCTGATACTGGATGTGTTGTTGATTATATTACTCTTTGTTACTGGATGTGATGTTGATTATTTTACTCTGTTACTGCATGTGTTGTTGATTATATTACTCTGTGTTACTGGTTGTACTGTTGATAATCTTACTCTGTGTTACTGGATGTGTTGTTGATTATATTACTCTGTGTTACTGGATGTGTTGTTGATTATCTTACTCTATGTTACTGGATGTGTTGTTGATTATCTTACTCTGTGTTACTGGATGTTTTGCTGATTATCTTTCTTTGTAGTATGTGTTGTTGATTTTCTTGCTCTGTGTTACTGGATGTTACTGAATGTGTTGCTGATTATATTACTCTGTGGTACTGAATTTGTTCTTGATTATCTTGCTCTGTGTTACTAGATGTGTTATGGATAATGTCAAGATCATGGTACTGTTCCTCCATGAAGAATCACTGCCTCCTGCAACAACCAGTCCAGAGCTGACTGTTAGCAGGTGTCACAAGTGTGAAAATCACACCAAGCAGGACTGCCAAGCTGGAGCCTCTGTTGGCCACAGTGAATCACATTTCTGTGGGTCACTGTTGATGCCATTATGGCTGAGCAGCGATGTAACTTACCCATCACAAGCCACACCCACCCATCACAAGCCACACCCACTCAGCACAAGCCACACCCACACAGCACAGGCCACATTCACCCATAAAAGCCACTTCCTTTCTTACCTGGGGGCCTCAAAGCTGTCGTATGATCCCACAGTGTAGTGGCGAAACAGACGCTTGGCCTTATCACTGCGGCTCTCTGTGACAAACAGGCACAAGGGCGTCAAAGCAGACAGGCAGTAACGAACCTGCATGTTGTACACAGTAGAGACACATGAGGAAGGTGTGTTTCTGGTGGGTACCATGCTCACCTGAGCGGCTGGCCTGGCGTGCTCCTACCTCCTCCACACACTCAGACGGGAACCAGCCAGTCCGGCCCTTCACTGTACCCTCCCAGTATCCCCCCTCACCCACGCTCAGCACTGATGGGGGGAGATGAATCACATGGCAGATTCTCATTACTCATTGCTGAATGGCTCTGTGATATTTCAGAACCTGAATGGTAAACACCTCTGATATTTCAGTTCAGTGATATTTCAGCCCGATAATATTTCAGAACCTCATCGGTGAACAGCTCTGTGATCTTTAAGAACTTCATTGGGGAACATTTCTGTAATATTTCAGCTCCATAATGTTTCAGCTCTGTGATATTTCAGAATCCCAGTGGTGATCAGCTCTGTGATATTTAAGCTCTGTGACATCTCACAGAGGGGTGGTGTGTGGCTCAGTAGGTTAGGCCTCTAGGCCTGTGTTTGGAAGGTCGCCAGCTTGAATTGAGTCCTTGGCAGAATAGTCACATGTTGTATTGGCCCTTAAGTAAGGCCCTTAACCCCCTGAATTGCTCTATGGACACTGGATAAATAGCTGATCCTGTGCTGACACCCCAAAGTTCTCAAATGTGTAATAAGTATATATACACACGTATGTACAGTATGTCTCAAAAGAGAGCAAAATGCAAGAAGAAGCATTTGTACTTGTACTGTGCAAATGTCAGATAAAGCATCACTTCATTTCAAAAATGCTGTGAGCTTCAGTATATGGCTTTTACCTTTGACTTTATCCCCCTTGTTAAAGCTTATTTCTCTCTCTCCCTGGGCAGAATATGACCTTGTGGCCACAAAGACCCGTCCTGGGACAGCGCTGTACAGGCGCCTTCGCTGGCTGCCGGAGGTTACGGCACTCCCGGTCGACCCCACCCTTTCCAGAGGGAGACATACAGACACAGAGGTAAAGCCAATGTCTGGCTGCTTCTGAAGTCTGAGCACCACCGGACCAGCACGGGGGGCTACCAGGAGCAAACGTGCCTACTGACCCCGGTCTGCTTCGAATGGAGCGGCTGCGCTCCTCCTTCTCCCCAGAACGGCCTCGGGAGGGGGAGCGAGTGCGGGCCCCCCGAGGGCTGCTCGAACTCCGGATGGTACCACTGTGCTTGAGACCCTGGTGGGGGCCATTCAAATAGTACTTTTGAGGCAGATTTTGTATTAAAATCATTTTTAATTAATAAATAAAAATAAGTACATAAAAGGGTGTCTCCTTATGAGACATACCTGCACAGAGACAACGGTGTTGCCCGCTGTACTGGGCACTGCCATCCACTCAGGAACCGTCATGCTGTTATCGCTGTTGGCACGAAGGAAGGGGTGAGGATGTGGAAGCATGAGTGTACGTGTACTTTCCCGCCTCTGGGGGGCATACTTGGGTGACTCAAGAAAGGGCACTGAGAACAAGAGAGAGAAGCATCAGAGATACATAGAAGAAGCTACCATAGGGTACAGACACAGCACCCAGAATAAGCACTGACATACACACACACTATGCTCACATGGGACATTAGACTCACCTACGTCTGTGTCACGGTGATTTTTAATAATCTCACCCAGTTCAAAGTGACCAGACATCACAGCGACCTAAAAGACAGGCATGCATGTGAAATGTGCTCCGTTTGATGAGGATGCCCCCACTTCTGCACTTCATGTCATGAGAAACACAGTCACCTGGAAGGGGGTTTGCCCATTGTTGTTTTTTGCATCCTTATTGGCGCCCCGGTATAGAAGAATGCGGGCACAGCTTTCCTAATGGGGCCAGAATGATGTCAATCAGTACATCCGTCTGATGTTGGAAGCTGCTTTTAAACATGACTGTGCTGAATTCAATTTTATAACACCTTTGTGGTACTAATGGTTGACTATTTAATTAACAAAAACAGCATGAACAATGAAAACACAGGCATGGTTCATAAGCATACACACCCATCACAGATATGTAGACATGACAATCATAGCCGTGAGGACACACCCCTCACTGCCGTGAGGAAAACACCCATCACAGCCATGAGGATACACCCATCACAGCCATGAGGACACACCCATCACAGCCATGAGGACACAACCATCACTGCCATGAGGACACACTCCTCACAGCCATGAGGACACACCCATCACAGCCATGAGGACACACCCATCACTGCCATGAGGACACACCCCTCACTGCCGTGAGGACACAACCATCACTGCCGTGAGGACACACCCATCACAGCCGTGAGGACACACCCATCACTGCCATGAGGACACAACCATCACTGCCGTGAGGACACACCCATCACTGCCGTGAGGACACAACCATCACTGCCGTGA